CAATCAGTCAATCAATCAGTCAGTCAATCAATCAATCAATCAACAGTCAATCAGTCAATCAATAAATCGAATAAACTAAATTGGCCGTAGTGTTTGTGTGTGAATGAGTGTGTATGATGTTTCCTAGTACTGGGTTGCAGCTGGAAGGGCATCCGCTGTGTAAAACATATGCCAGAATAGTTGACGGTTCATTCCACCGTGCGATCCCTGTTGAATAAAGTTACTTAGCCGAAGTAAAATGAATGAATAAACTTTTTTTATGAAAAACCCATTCTGAAATGACAAAAACTTCACAATTGAAAAGAAGCAAAATGTGCCTGCAGTTGCATATCCCTAGGCTCACATTTTGTCCTCAATTATCACTAACATTTTCCATGTAATGGACTGATATTGGCATTGTGGATTGTAACTTTATTGCGTGTTGCATGTAAGTTTGAGTTTCCCAGTCAGACCGTAGATTTATGGGATGAGTGTTTCAATGAATCATGACGGAGTGTGTGTTTGCGGTCAGGAGGGCCACAGTCTGGTGAAGGCTCAGCATCCGGGCAGCCTGAAGATCCAGGAGTTTCTGAGTCAGCTGGAGGTTCTGTGGGACGAGCTCAAAAGGAGACACCAGAGGAACGGACTGGTCTTGAAGCTCTCAGAGGAGCTCAACTGCAGGGTAAACGCATCTAATGCTTACCTAAAATATCTTAAATGAAATCCTGCCCTCTATCCTTTGCCATTTATTTTACTAGCTACTGAACTTGCAAATATGTGCAGCATACTGAATCCCATGGTGCAGTTGATGGATCGAGAATCTGTTTTTGGGATGAGAAACAGGAATTTGTATGATTCAGGGTTTGTTTTGAAACTTAATTTTACATAATTGTAATATAAAAAGTTACACATGTTGCACAAATTAAAAACTATAGCATAAAACTCATGTATTTCGCATACTTCTTTAACATAAATAAGCTTATACACAAGGAATAGTATATATTTGTATATTTTATAATCTGCATGATGGAGAAATATAAATAAATAAATAAATAAATAAATACATTCTGTAACAGAATGTTGCGGAACAACAAAGGTAAGGGTCCAAATGCAGTTTATTTACAACTTAGTCAGGCAGGCAATGGTCGAAACAGGAGCAAACTGTATCGGGGGTAATCCAAAAGCGTAGTCTAGGTCAGTGGTTCTCAAAGTGGGGGTCGGGACCCCGCGAGGGGTCGCGGGGCAATGAAGGGGGGTCGCCTGGTGATTTCCAAAAATCTATTTATTTTTATTAAACCATAAGAATTAACATATTTTATCCATAACTATACTGAAAATAAAAATAGTCGTTTATAGTTACTATATTCTATATAGTTACTATAGTAGCTTTTAGTTACTAGTTCTATTGGATTGCGACCCCTGGGGTAATTGCATTATATTAAAGGCAGCAATAGCGTCAGATGCATTTTGATTTTATAACATCAGGTTATAATTTCTGGCACATTTAAAGCACTGACACAAATTTAATTGGTGTGTCTGCGTCATTGCATGCAAGGATTCTGTATTTATAACCACCTCAGAGGATATTGGGGGTCGCGAGTCACTGGCATTGTTATTTTGGGGGTCGCGGGCTGAAAAGTTTGGGAACCCCTGGTCTAGGTCACATGCAAAGAGGTCGGTGCAGGCAGCAAACAGCATAAACAATAAACAAGGCAAGGATCAAAATAATAATAACTCCTTACATTTATATAGCGCTTTACTAGACACAAGAGGAGACAGAGTGATGAAGCTATTTATTATATGGGGATTGTTAGGAGGCCATGATGTACAGAGGCCAGTGGACATATTTGGCCAGGATGCCGGGATTAAACCCCTACTCTTTTTCAAAGGATACCCTGGGATTTTAATGACCACAGAGAGTGAGGACCTCAGTATAGAGTCCCCATCAATATTCTGTGGAGTTAGGACCCACACAGGCCACAGGTTGAGCGCCCCCTGCTGGTCTCACAAAAGGCATGGCAAGATTAGACAGGAATAACTTTTAATAATGTTACAGGTGAACAAGCCTAAGCAGTGTTTGTGAGAATGTGAGGTGTATATATAGGCCGGATGCCAATTTTATTTTGTTTGAATTTGACTTAATTTTATTTAACAGGGACAATGCTCATTAATAAACAGTGAAACTGTAAATAAGCCACAGTGGTGATCTGGAACTGGTGTGTGTTAGGTGCTTGATGGGAAATGTAGTGCAGTTCAGTGGCAGAATTGTAGTTTGGGTAATAGTGAATGTTTTCCAGCAATCTGCAAGAGCACGATCGCTGATGTTTGTGACATTAGCCCTCTTATGAATATATATATTTTTATATTTCCCAAATGATGACAGAGCAAGGAATTTTTCACAGTATTTCCTATAATATTTTTTCTTCTGGAGAAAGTCTTATTTGTTTTATTTCGACTAAAATAAAAGCAGTTTTTTATATTTTTTAAGCCATTTTAAGGTCAATATTTTTAGCCCCCTTAAATAATATTTGTTTTGGATCGTCTACAGAACAAACCACAGTTATATGATGACTTGCCTAATTACCCTAGCTTTACTCTAATTAACCTAGTTAAGCCTTTAAAGGGCCATGAAGCCCCCTCGTTTCAGCAGGGTGTTTTCACACCTCTACTTTGGAAAAAGTCAGAAAAGTGGGCGTGTCCAGCTCTGTTTAGGGGGGAGTGTCTGAGGAGCAAAAGAGGCATGGTATGGGAGTGTCTATTTGGGCGCGCTGACTTTCAGAGTCAAAACACACACCCATACAGGGGGCCAAAGTGACTGTGTTTACATGGACATCTGTAGTCGAATTATTTGCCAAATTATTAAATGGTGGACTTTAACTGCAGTTTGTCTCTTTCATTCAGAGAATTCATTCATGTCCCTCGCGACAAACGATATATTTGATTGGAGGAGCTGCTCTAAGCGTGTATTTTTCATGCAGTGTTTGATACAGCACGGGAATGAGAAAAAAAAAACCTCCGCATTTCCCGGAAACTTAGATGCACACGGCAGGTAGCGTCAGAAAGCCGCGTGTGTTATTCCGGTCACTAAATGCGGTGAAAATCCTACACGAGGTTAAAGTTTGGTTACACTGCTAACATGTTTACACTCGGTGCAATAGTTTGCTCGATACGAACAAACTGAATAAACAAAGAGCACTGGTCGCTCACTTACCAAATCTGTAGAGACAGCACAATCACCAGCAACTAGAGCCGCGTCTTTATTAAGAGGAGACTACAGGCGAATCCGGATCTCAGCGTTTGCAGATGAGAACAGCTCTCAGGTAAACAATGTTCCTCCTTAGACACGTAAGTTATTGTTGTCGAGCGTCACGTACACTGTTAATCCACACATGACTCCAGCTGCGCTCTCACAGAGAGAAAATGAAAACAAAACTGCAACAAACTATAAAAGCAACACTTCACGCTTGTTTTGCCAACACAACGTAGCGTCTCTGTCGTAATGAATATTAATGAAGTTGCACAATAGAGTGCGCTGATTGGTTTGAACCAAGCCTTACTCATGCATTAATGCATCACACTGTAAGACGTAATAAGACACACTCTGGCACAGGCGTCCAGTCTGCACGCTGGAATACACGCTATTATCTCATGACCGTGACGCAGCTTCAAAAATCCGTTTCAAACCAGAAGTATGAATTTGCTTGAAATAACGCAAAAACAACCAATTTACACTTTTTAGTGAAATATAGGTGTCCTAATAGTGTTTTTAGCAGTGTGGGACACATATACGACTGTCAACAGCTCAAAAAATGTGTTTTGGTGTTTCGTGACCCTTTAAATGTCACTTTAAGCTGAATACTAGTATCTTGAAGAATATATAGTCAAATATTATGTGCTGTCATTATGAAAAAGCTAAAATAAATCAGTTATTAGAAATGAGTTAATAAAACTATTATGTTTAGAAATGTGTTGAAGAAAATCGTTTAACAGAAATTTGGGGAAAAATATACAGGGGGGCTAATTATTTAGACTTCGACTGTATTCCCAGTATAGAGCAGGCTGTCTGTGTGTGTGTTGTGCAGGTGGTGCAGATGCTGCAGTCTCTGGGCAGTCTGGAAGCGTGGCTGGAGGCGGTGGAGCTCTCCATCAGGCAGGCGTCTCTATCTGGAGACCCAGAGTCCGTGAGCATGGCGGAGCAGGAGAGCCGAGAGCTGGAGCAGGAGCTGGAGACCCGACGACTGGAGCTGAGAGACCTGCGGCTGGAGGTGGATCGTCTGAGCAGACAGAAACACCTCCAGACGCAGCTGCTGCCCGCTCGACTGATGGAGGTGGAGAAGAAGTATGTGCTCCAGGCTTCTCCTAAATGATTATCCCCACTGGATATTTTTCCCTATTCTGTTTAATGGAGAGAAGATTTTCTTCAACACATTTGTAAACATAATAGTTTTAATAACTCATCTCTAATAACTGATTTATTTTATCTTTGCCATGAGGACTGTAAATAATATTAGACTAGATATTCTTCAAGACACTAGCATTCAGCTTAAAGTAACATTTAATGGCTTAACTAGGTTAATTAGGCAGGTTAGGGTAATTAGGCAAGTCATTGTATAACAGTGGTTTGTTCTGGAGACAATCCAAAACAAATATAGCTTAAGGCGGCTAATAATATTGACCTTAACATTTTTTTTGATAAAATTACGAACTGCTTTTATTCTAGCCAAAATAAAACAAAAAAGACTTTCTCCAGAAGAAAAAGTATTTTAGGAAAACTGTGAAAAGATGTGTGTGCTGGTCTAAGTATTAGTGTATGTGTGTTTTAGGTTCAGCAGTGTGCAGACGGCGCTGACGCAGCAGACCTCAGAGCTGAAGGACACACGGATGCTCACTGAGTTCCTGGAGAAGCTGGAGCTGGAGGAAAACCACTACACTCTGGGAAAGGTCTGAGCATTTATTCAGTCATGCATTCATTCATTCATTCATTCATTCATTCACTAAAAGAATTATCCCTGAATTAACAGGGTCCATGTTTTGCAATTAACAAGTTGTCCCGTTTATTGACGAATTGCATGAACTGCTCTCTTTTGTAAATTTTTGAAGTTGAAAAATGCAGCTGAGCAGTTTAACAGAGTGCATAATATTTCACTTTCACTTTATTTGTATAGCGCTTTTACAATGTAGATTAGTGTCAAGGCAGCTTTACGTAAAAGATCACAGCAAATTGCAACCCAAGCTCATTCTGAAAACGTAGTCCTGCAGGCATTTCTGGAGACAGCGGAATACGTCCCAGGGGGTACGTACGGCTGCGTTTATTTTTTTCAAGCGAACGCTGCGGGGCGGTGTGACGCCGTTCCCTTTCGCGCTTGCCGGCCGACCGCTTACCTCCTTGTGGAGGGCTTTCCCACTGCAACCCGTTTGTCCACTCAGCTCACCGTGTACGTCGGCAGGCTCGAGATGCAAAGAGTCGACCACGCCGACCGGTTTCGAGTCCGGGGAAGAGCGGTTCCAGCAATCAGGTAAGACAAAAACAGAATGCCAAAAATTAAGTAAACGAGTTTCGTGGCAGGGTGAGAACGCGGTGAAATCCGAAAACGCGGTATAAAAAAAAAAATCAGGGCTTTTCTTTTTTTGGACGGCTTTTGTAAACTGTTGCTCGGGTTTAGGGAAGCGAGCGGGCGGGCGGGTTGATCGTTAAGATTGGTTGGGTTCGAGAAGGAGGAGGGCGGGTCGGCTGATTGGCCGGTCACGCAGTCCGGTCAGTCGGACAGTGGCCTCCAGCGGGTTCATGCGAGAACAGCGCGGGTGCGAACTGCACTCGCTAGAGGCGTCTGAGACGCGAAAAAGCGCACAACAGCGGCCTCTCACGGATTCGCAAAAACAACTGCAGCCGTACATACCCGCCAGGACGTATTCCTCGGTGTCCAGAAACGTCCGCGGGACTACGTTTCCACAATTAGCCCAGGTTGGTAAATTGAAACCGTGTAGCTCAGTATTTAGTGTTTAAGTTCAGTTTAGCTCAGTTCAGTGTGGTTTATTAGTCACTATTGAGGGCCTAAACACTGAGCAGCAAATCCATCCATGCGCAGCTGTACAGATCCCGAACAATGCAAGCTAGTGGCGACAGCGGCAAGAGAAAATTTATATTTATAATTTATAATATAGTTATTCGTTTATAATGAGTACTTTAATTTTAGTAGTTTGAGAAATATATAATGTATATTGAAATAATTTATAGAGATGTATGTTTGTAAAATAACAGAAAAGCTATTTGCAGTTTATTACTAGGTATTTGTACTGAAATTTATAACACAAATACAGACAATATGTCACTTAAAAGCATTTAAGTCCTCACTTTTTCTAAAATCATTGTTATGCCCCAAGTCTAGGGGAAAACAACATGGGCTTAATAAGCGGAAAAACAAATGTTGTGGGTGGTGGGTTTCCCAAACAAAACAAAAACTATGCAAAAGATCCCCTTTGGTCGACGACCAAAATCTGACACTCATGAGAGTAATTGAATAGATTTGTAATAGAAAAACAGTAGTTTTAAATGAGCATCTCATTGAAATGAGCAAGTAAATGAACTAAATTACCTATAAATATTTAAAGAAAAATACTGGAAGCTCAGCTTTTTTTCTAAACATAAACACAGTCAAAAGTAATCAAATAAATAGGCAGGCCACCCTTACAAGCTCAAACTCTCAAAAAGTTAAACACATGAACAATAGTACAAGATTAAATGTTGATTGTTGGCCGGAGGGGTGAGGGAAATCCAGGAGCTCCTCTCCCAGCAACCGTCGCACCACAAGTAAGCTCTCCAAACTCGGAAGTTCCTTTTTATAGGCCTCCACGACCAGCAGCCAATCAGAGCATGGATCACGTTGGAATGGGAGCCTATGGAATAACAGAAAATAACAAGAAGGCGGGACAAAGGAAAAGACACATGCAATGTTCATTCATTCATTTTCTTGTCGGCTTAGTCCCTTTATTAATCCCGGGTCACCACAGCGGAATGAACCGCCAACTTATCCAGCAGGTTTTTACGCAGCGGATGCCCTACCAGCTGCAACCCATCTCTGGGAAACATCCACACACTCTCATACACTATGGACAATTTAGCCTACCCTATTTACCTGTACCGCATGTCTTTGGATTGTGGCTCAGTTGGCGTTTCTGTGTGGAGTTTGCATGTTCTCCCTGCGGTCGCATGGGTTTCCTCCGGGTGCTCTGGTTTCCCCCACAGTCCAAAGACAAGCGGTACAGGTGATTTGGGTAGGCTAAATTGTCCGTAGTGTATGAGTGTGTGTGTGAATGTGTGTGTGGATGTTTCCCTGAGATGGGTTGCGGCTGGAAGGGCATTCGCTGCGTAAAAACTTGCTGGATGAGTTGGTGGTTCATTCCACTGTGGCGACCCCAGATTAATAAAGGGACTAAGCCGACAAGAAAATGAATAAATGAATGAATGAATTATTTTTAGACAATTAAACGTCAATGAACCAAAACAGACAAATCGCATAATCTGAATTATTTTTTAAACATTAATCAATAAAGATATTTATACGGTGTTAACGCACTTGTTTTACACTCTCTTTTCTTGCTGCAGCCGCTGTGCAGTGATCTGGACTCTGGAGCTTCTCTTCTGGGCCGCAGACATGATGATCGGCTGATGGAGGCCATCGGGAATCCTGTCAAGGAGCTCCGAGAAGCAGTGGAGATGCTGAACGATACGGCCCGTGAGAGAGGCAGAACGCAGACTCATGACCACAGCATACAGCAGCTCATCAACACGGTGAGCAGAGCGAGACACACTTTTCCTAGAAACCGTTTGTTGATGCAAAACTACAATTATTTACACAGTTTACACCAGGCATGTCCAAACTCGGTCCTGTAGGGCCGGTGTCCTGCAAGGTGTAGTTCCAACCCCAATCAGACACACCTGGGCTAGCTAATCAAGCTCATACTAAGCATTCTAGAATCATCCTTGCAGGTGTGTTGAGGCAAGTTAGAGCTAAAATCTGCAGGACACCTGCCCTCCAGGACTGAGTTTGGACACCCCTGGTTTACACAACATCATGAATTTGAAAGTGAAAGTAAAAGGCATGCGTGGAAGGGTGCCCCCATATCTGGTTTATGTCTCCCCCTTGTGTCTAATACAGAAAATGCAGCATGGTTAGAATAAATAACCGCAATTAGACGGTTGTAATAATAGAAACAGGTCTAGTCAGAAATGGACCTTCAAGTGTTTTATTAAATTAATCCACACATACTATTTATGTATTACTGGTTTCCCAGCACGCCATGGTGTCAGCGCGGGTGGAGCAGTGTCTACGGCGCTGTGCTGAACTTGCTGAAGACGTGCTGGAAATGGAGAGTGAGATGGCAGTCAGGTGTGAGCCGGATCGATGCGGACTGGATGATCTGCAGGAGTACCAGGACCAGCTGGAGGTATGGGTTCACCCAACTATACTTCCATAGAAAATGTTGCAAAGCAAATTCTGTCCGAAAAATGGTCTAGTTTATGTTTTAGCTACTTTTTAGGACCAATTAGATATTTTGCATTGCTAGTTTAGTTTGTATGACATCTAAGAACATTTTCTTAAAGGTCTGTATGTAAGTTTTTGACTCTTCTAAAGTATAAAAATACCATCAAAATATCATAATATGTTTGCAGATATTTAAGAAATATGCTAATGAACATTTCCCAGAGATGGGTTGCGGCTGGAAGGGCATCCGCTGCGTAAAAACTGCATATTTCATTCATTCAGTCAGTCATGAAGGCTCTCAAAGTATGCGTCCCTGACCAAAATGTGACCTCCGGTGGACAGTAGCAGACTCTGAAATGAGACATAGTAATGCATTATTGTTATTTTTATTATCAGATTTTTTTTTTTTTAATCTGTGGTCCTGAAATTGAGGTGTATTTTAGGTAGATTACATTATATTTTTGTTAACTAATTAATCAATAGCCAAATGTATTATTTTGCTAGCACAAATTAAGTGAATTGTATTTGTTAATTAATTAACAACCTGATTTATTAATTTATTAGCAAAAAAAAAAGTAGATTACATTATATTTATGTTATTATTCCCCTGATTAATTACTTTGTTAGCATAAAAGTAAATACAATATATTTGTTTTAAAAAAATAATCACTAGCCTATTTAATAATTTTGATAGCATAAAATAAGCAGATTCCATTATATTTATGTTAAATCATGAATTAATATCCTAATTATATTAATCATTTTGTTAGCAAATAATAAGGAGGTTGCATTATATTTGTGTTAAGTAATGAATTAATATCTTAATAAATAATTTTGTTAGCAAATAATAGGCAGATTACCTTTGTGTTAAATAATGAATTAATATCCTATTTAATCATTTTGTTAGCAAATAATAAACGCGTTACATTATATGTGTGTTTAATAATGAATTAATATCCTAATTAGTCCTTTGGCAAGTGTATAATAAGCAGATTACATTATATTTGTGTTAAATATTGAATTAATACCCTGATTAATCATTTTGATAGCAAATAATAAGCAGATTACATTATATTTGTGTTAAATATTGAATTAATACCCTGATTAATCATTTTGATAGCAAATAATAAGCAGATTACATTATATTTGTGTTAAATAATAAGTTAATATCCTAATTAATCCTTTGATAAGTGTATAATAAGCAGATTACATTATATTTGTGTTAAATAATAAATTAATATCCTAGTAAATAGTTTTGTTAGCAAATAATAAGCAGATTACATTATATTTGTGTTAAATAAATAATAAATATCCTAATTAATCATTCTGATAGCAAATAATAAGCAGATTACATTATCTTTTTGTTAAATATTTAATTAATCTCCTAATTAATCCTTTGGTAAGTGTATAATATGCAGATTACATTATATTTGTGTTAAATAACTAATTAATATCCTAATTAGTCATGTTTAAAGCATATAATAAACACATTACATTATATTTGTGTTAAATAATGAATTAATATATTAATAAGTCATGTTTAAAGCATATAATAAACACATTACATTATATTTGTGTTAAATAATGAATTAATATATTAATTAATCATTTTGTTAGCATAAAACAATAGCTAACAATTATAATAATAATTCTTCCACAGTCTGAGCTTATTTTATGCATGCATATATTTGTGCTGAGATGTTATTAAAACCTATTTTCACGAGTTTCACAGTCGTTTATTTGATAAAACAGTCAATCCAGCCAGCAAACGAGTGTTTTTGTAACACAACAACCCAAAGTCCATATCATTCATCAAGGCTCAGGAACAGGCAGCATCTTGTTTTCTGGCACTCGATGACCTCGCAGTGTTGATCTAACGGAAATGACTTTCTCCCACCTTTCTGCTGATGAATTTATTTTAGCACATTGTTTCGAGAATCTGTTTCCTGTTGTGGCTGAGGTCTGACATCCACTGAGACTTGTGCTTGGTAATGAAGCCCACACAGGACTTCATTATCCACACAGGACTGCATTGTGTGAGACTTTTTTGGCATTTATGATGTGTATCTACGTGTCGGCTGATTCATTTGTGAATTCAGCGCTGTGCATTGTGGGCTGCGTTCATGCAACAGAGCCTTAGTGGTGTATATTGCACAAACACACACACACACATCTGTCTGCAAAGCCTGAAGCATAAGATATGACCTAATGGCTCATGCTGAAATAGTCTGACGCTCATGCACAAAGCATCTGTCAGACTCTGAAGTGCAGACGCGGATCTGAAACACTGATTCTGATTAAGCCTTTAACAATGCATGTGGAAAGCATGTGCTTCATTTTACTGATGTTCAGTTAAAGACAAAATTAATAGCCCTCCTGTGAAATTATAATTCCCTTTTTCCAAATATTTGAACATGTTGATTTCTTTTTAAACATAATATTTTTAATAGCTGATTTCTGATAACGATTATCAGTGGTTATCAGCTGATAGATATGGGCCAGTAGGGGCCCTCTGCGCCTACTGGTAGGCTTAGAAGGCTGTTATCATTCATCCACAGGCACGTGCACACATAGGGCTCAACCTGTGCAGTGCACATGCCCTTTTTAGTCTTGGATAGAATGTGCCCTTCCAAAATGATCAAAAGTGCCCCCGCGACGCGGCACACTCTCGGTCCCGCTCTTCAGTAGGCGCGCGACAACACCACTCGAGTACGCGCGAGACAACACAGCTGATCAACACCGCTATTCAGTACGCGCACAGCCTATAATCCCCTATAATCGCATGTGCTTTGACTGTGAGGGAAACCGGAGCACCCGGAGGAAACCCACGCCAACACGGGGAGACCATGCAAACTCCACACAGAAATGCCAACTGACCCAGCTGGGACGCGAACCAGCGACTTTCTTGCTGTGAGGCCACAGTGCTAACGACTGAGCCAATGTGTTACCCTTGCAAAGTAACTAGTTATTTCAAATATTTGTCAATTTTATTTAAAGAATATTTCAATATATTTAAAATCACAATAATTTTGTATCGTGATGCAAATATCGTGATAATTATCACGTGGATCCTTTTCACAAGCTGGTTATGGCGTGTTTAACGATCACCAGCATCTTAAATCCTTGAAATGTTTTTAATGTGTTGATTTTTTTTCTTATATTTTAAATGTTTGTACATTTATATGTAATTACTTATATATTATATCATCTTTGCATTAAATTACCACTGAATTAAACTAATTACTGCTTATTAGGCATGGGTCTGTATAAGATTCTGACTGTATGATAACCTTGGATAAAAGGGGGCTGCACAGTGGCGTTCGCCTCACAGCAAGAAGGTCGCATGCTTGTGCCTCGGCTGGGTCAGTTGGCGTTTCTGTTTAAAGTTTGCATGTTCTCCCTGTGTTCGCGTGAGTTTCATCCGGGTGCTCCGGTTTCCCCCGCAAGTCCAAAGACATGCGGTACAGGTGAATTGGGTAGGCTAAATTGTCCGTAGTGTATGAGCGTGTATGAATGTTTCCCAGTGATGGGTTGCAGCTGAAAGGCCATCCACTGTGTAAAACATATGCTAGATAAGTTGGCAGTTCATTCTGCTGTGGCGACCCCTGATTAATAAAGGGACTAAGCCAAAAAGAAAATGAATGAAGAAAATAAATAAATGTCTGGGTAGAAAAAAACAACAAAAAAAAATACTTTTTTCCCCCATTGATCACAATATATTTTATTTTAAGAAACACTTAAAATATTTTAGTAGCAGTAAACATATCAGGCTAAAGAATTCAACTAAATCGTAAACTAAAAACATGTGCTGGCCGAATTCCCTCAATCCGCCCTTACCCATCATGGCCCACCTGTCATCCCCATCTACCAAATTGGCTCTATCACTGTCTCTACACTCCCCCTATAGCTGGTGTGTGGTAAGTGCACTTGTGCCATTGTTCTGTGGCTGCCGTCGCATCATTCAAGTGGATGCTACACACTGGTGGTGCTTTAGAGAGCCCCCCTCATGATTTTAAGCGCTTAGGGTGTATGGCCATTCACGATAAATACAGTTATATGCAGTTGAAACCAGAAGTGTACATACGCTGTATAAAAAGGCAAATTACCATTTTAAAAAAAAAGTATTTTTCTCTAAGTTCTCTAAACTTTATCACATTTGTTTTTGTTGTGCTTAATAGCAGAATAATGAGAGAGATATTCTTTGAGAAATTGTTATAATTTTTCTTGAAAGTCAAGTTTACATACAATAAGATTATTCTGCCTCTGAAAAAGCTCAGATGATGATGTCAAGGTTTTGGAAGTTTCTGATTGGCTAATTGACAACATTTGAGTTAATTGGAGGCACAACTGTAGAACAGTATTACAGGAAAACCTCAAACACACACTGCTGCCTTATGTGACAACATGGGAAAATCAACAAGCCAAAATCAACAAAAAAGCCAGATTACAATTTGCAGAATTACACTGGGGAGAAGACTCATTTCTGGAGACATGTCCTGTGCTCTGATGGAGCTAAGATTGAACTGTTTGGCCATAATGACCAGTGTTACATTTGGAGGACAAAGGGGAAAGCTTAAAAGCCTAGAAACACCATCCCAACTGTGAAGTATGGGGGCGGCAGCATCATGTTGTGGGGCTGTTTTGCTGCAGGTCCACTTCACAGCATAGATGGCATCATGAAGACAGAACATTATGTAGAAATACTGAAGCAACATCTCAAGACATCAGCCAGGAAATTAAAACTTGGCCACAAATGGGTCTTCCAAACACACCATGACCCTAGGCATACTGCCAAATTAGTTCAAATGTGCTTTAAGGACAACAGAGTGAATGTTTTGGAGTGGCCATCACAAAGCCCTGATCTCAATCCAATAGAAAATTTGTGGGCAGAGTTGAAAAAGCTTGTGCAAGCAAGACAGCCTACAAATCTGACTCAGTTACAGCAATTCTGTTTTGAGGAATGGGCCAAAATTCCTGCAAACTATTGTGAGAAGCTTGTGGAAGGATACCCAAAACATTTAACCAAAGTTATACAGTTTAAAAGCAAAGCTAAAAAAAAAAAAGCAAGGAAATGTGTGTAAACTTTCGACTGTCTAGAAATTAATAAAACATTCTCAAAAAACAAAATAAATAAAATTATCTCATTATTGTGGCATTTAGCAAATGTAAATCATTTATGGTAATCCTAACAGACTTAAAATAGTAAACGTTTAGTATGATTTACCATCAGACATTCTTTGTGGTTATGTTTCTTTTTTAGAGTGTGTGTCAACTTCTGGTTTCAACTGTAAATACATTTCATTTCATTACATTAAATCATTGACTTCTGCTGTCTTCATTAGTGTCAAAAACATTGATTTATTTACAACTTGAAGAGGCATTTTTACAGATCTTTTTTTTTTTCTGTGGATATAAAGTAAAGCCACTGCACTGTTCAGGTCTAGAGCATGCTTGGAAGTTGGTTTACAAGCGATTTGCTTTTTAAATGTTTCCTGAGGGCTGACCAGTAGCTTTTGATGTGGAGGATGCTCCTTTTCTGCTGGAGATACTGTTGCCCTAAAAACTAAAATAAAAAAAATATACTGTAAAGTAAAAAAAATACTGTAGAAATGGTATAACAGAAAATTTTAGCAGTTTTAAAACCTTGACTTTTCTAAACCGTGGTAAACCTTGTCATCCCATGCCTCCCCTTATATGTGTTGTTTTTTGGTGCAGGCTGAATACGGGCTGTTGCAGCAGGAGGTGGAGCTGATGGAGAGTCTGTGGATCCGCCTGTCAGACGTGTGTCCCGAGAGGATGACCAGCGTCAGCTCTGAGATTCAGAGCAGTCTGAACTCCTGGATGGAGCTCAGCAAGAGTCTGAGTGAAAACAAGAAGAGGCTCCTGCAGTTCACACAGCTGAGGCACTTCTTCAGGAGATACCTGGACATGATGTGAGGAAATGACGGAAGAACGGCTCGCTTTATTTTGCATTCTCTTAAAGGGATCGTTCACCCAAAAATGAACATTTACTCACTGTTTACTCTCCCTCAAGTGGTTATAAACCTTTATGGGTTTCTTTCTTCTGTTGAACACTAAAGAAGATGTTTTAAAGAATGCTGAAAAACTGTAACCATTAACTTCCTTTGGAAAAACAAATACAATTGAAATCGAAAGTTACAGGTTTCCAGCTTTCCACAATCTTCTTTTGTGTTCAACATAATAGAGGAAGTCAAACAGGCTTTGGAAGAAGTGAAGGGCGAGTAAATGATGATAAAATGTTCAGTTTTGGGTGAACTGTGACTTTAAGGATTTAAATAAAAAATAATAATTAATAATGATAAATATGGTTTATTTACTTTTTTAATGAAGTTTGTTTTCAGTTCTGTCAAGGATTTTTGCTTTATGATTTTGTTATTATTATAATATTATTATTATTATTATTATTATTATTATTATTATTATTATTAATTGGCGATGCAGTGGCGCAGTAGGTAGTGCTGTCGTTTGAGCCTCGGCTGGATCAGTTGGCGTTTCTGTGTGGAGTTTGCGTGTTCTCCCTGCGTTTGCATTCCTTCGGGTGCCCCGGTTTCCCCAACAGTCCAAAGACATGCGGTACAGGAGAATTGGAGAGACTAAATTGCCCGTAGTGTTTGAGTGTGAACGTGTGAATGAGTGTGTATGGATGTTTTATAGTGATGGGTTGCGGCTGGAAGGGCATCTGCTGCGTAAAAATGTGCTGGATAAGTTGGCGGTTCATTCCGCTGTGGCGACCCCTGATTAATAAAGCGACTAAGCCAAAAAGAAAATGAATGAATGAATTATTATTAATATTATAATGACATATGGCAGAAACCCTTTGAGCATATTCCCCCAAATTTTGAATGTGGTATTAAGTAAAAGAGCACAACATTCCTTATGCATATTTAACAAAACCTATTATATGTAAACTTATTAACATCACTCTTTTTTGCTTCTTACTAGGCCCACGCAGAATCTGCGTCCGCATTTATTTGTGTAAATGTGTGTAAATTTATATTTATTCAGTTTTTAAATTAATTTATCTAATATTATTTTGATATAATAGTTGTAATATGAAAATGTTGGTATGATTTATTTACAATAGAGTTTGTAAAGTCATATTTTCTTTCTTTCGAGTTTCTTTGTTCAACCAAAATAAGTAAATCCAGGACTTAATTTGTGCAGAAACACGCCGGATGCGGATTCTGCAACTCTTAAATCTGATCCGGCACCTCATTTTATCGATCCCCCTCCTCAACCGCCGTCCTTCTCCTCCCCCTTTCGCTGTTAACCTTCACTTTCTTCCGCGACTCCCCAACCTCTTCACTTTCGTCCACGACACCTCCGCCCTGCTCACTTTAGTCTGCAACACCCCTACGCCATCCACCGCACCATCCAACAACACCACCCCATCCCACCACAACTCCCCAATTTATTTGCATTGTAAACATTAAATAAAAGTTAAAAATGTATTATTTTTTATTTCATATATGAAGTTTATAGTTATGATGTTCGTAAAATCTTTTTTAGATTTTTTGCAAAATTCTCTGCAAAAATAGCAAAAAATGTCTGCAGATTCTGTCTGGTCCTACTTATTACTCATTAATTGCAATATATGCACACACATACATAGACACATGAATGGTGTTTATAAAGTATTTTGACATTCCTAATACATATATTAGTATATGTGTCAGTTCTGGGTATTATTTCATTTTCTGATGTTTTGCATATTCCTTTTAATCATGTTCAGTCCTGATTTAATTTTTATTATTGTACTACATTAATAATGTAATATACTTACTTACTTGCACCCCATTCACACGGGGCATCAGCGTCAACACTTCCCATTCACTTTGAATGGGTGACGTCAGTCGTTGCCGAACTGCATTGTGGATCCGTCAGTGCTATTTCAGTGGTGTTGCTCGCTGAAGAAGTTGAAACTTTCTCAACTTTTGAAGCACCGACGGAAGCGTCAGCCAATCAGATCGCTGTATGCAAATACACCAGCTCAGACAGTAGCCAATTGCTGACTAATTTCATTGGCTGACGCTGCTATGACGATCAGGTCAGACCTAAATTCAGACACACCCTCTGTCAAGCGTTCACGCTGAAGCCCCGTGTGAATGCACTGTTACTCCATGGGCTATTTATATTGGAGTTGATATTTAGTCACGCTATATTGGTGTTTCATAACATGAGGTGAGCTGTTAGACCAATGCTTCACTCCAAACCTGGAGCTCCAGGACATACACTACGGACAATTTAGCGTACCCAATTCACCTATATCGCTTGTGTTTGGACTGTGAGGGAAACCGGAGCACCCGGAGAAAACCCACGCCATAACGGGGAAAAAATGCAAACTCCACACAGAAATGCCAACTTACCCAGCTGGCGCTCAGACCAGCGACCTTTTTGCTGTGAGGTAACAGCGATCCCCACCATGGTGGCGCAGTGGGTAGCACTGTCACCTATAACACTCCCTATAATAATGCATGACAAAATATATATAATATACATACACTCACACTCATTTGCTGCTGCTGTACTTGAAGGCAGACAGTGTGTAACAATCATAGAGCCAATCAAGAGAGAATTGTTGGTAATATGAATTGCTGAATAACTTTCCTGCAACAAACATTTTTATTGGCCATGTGGATGAAAATGAAAGTTGTTTAATTTTTATTACATAAATGATAACAGGCATAATAATAAAGAATATGGAATATGTACAAATAGTTTGGAGTAAAATACCCATCACCCCCCCTGCCCCCAACCCCCCTTCATATGCGCAATATCACACAAGTAGCAGTGCGATATGGCTGTATTTAACCACTACGAGTGTAATCTTGCATTAATACAACAGTTCGACGGCACAATCTTGTATATAAAAAAGAAAATCAAACACGGAGAGTCTAAAACCCTTTTGTTTTAGGAACTACTTTCTTCCGCCATTCATTCACATCTGCAGCTGACGTCAAAACAGTAGAAGCCGTTACTAATTCGCCAACGTCAGCTGATTTTGCTTACATTTTAAGATTAAAAGGTTGAATGTGACATGAAATGTCATCCATCTACAGAGATATCTCCCTACAGTCTATTACAGTCTACAGTATTTCTCTGTTGCCGCCGGTATTGTGCCAGGTGTCCCAGCGTTTACCTGAGAATTAAAAAAAAGGAGACAAACTATTTTGCTCTTCCTATTGGCCTTTATCCATTTCTCCCAAGTGCTGTCAACTACATACATGCCAGTCAACGACAATAAATAGGCAAAGGGAAAAGAAAAAGACACTTAAACATCTGTCGCAAAATAAAATGTTACAGTATTGAAATAAAAGAATGATACAGACCTAGAGCGACCTTCACACACTTCTCAGAGTTTGCCAGAACTGAACTGAGCTCCCATACTTACTTGCTTACATCTCAAAGGTAAAACAACCAGAGAAGAAGTCCTCTTAAAGGGGACATTAATACACAATGCATATCAAACATTAAGCGACCGTTACAATATCACAATAATTAACCTCGAAAAAAGCAGCGCAATCACTACCAGACTGCTGTTGTGTTTGCGATAAGGAGGGACGAGGCTGAATCCAGCTTCTTATTCTCAGCTTCTTATTGACTTTATCCGCTCCACCTTTAAAACCACAACGCTTCCGTTTTTCATTTTCTTATTCGGGTTCAAGAAAACAAACAACAGTTTTAATCTAAGCAAGGGCTTATTATGCGGCTCTGGCGCCATCTTGTGGATAGACAACGTCAACAGTCTTTGACTAATGGACACCGACGCGCTATCTCAGAAATGATAAATATTTTAAAATTGGCACTATCCTTATAAATAAACAGCAAAGTTGCAGTCTAAACAACTACATTCTCGACTAAAATAGCCTCAAAAGTGCATTATGTAGCTTAACTGCATGGAATATTAGTCAAACTGTAATGCTTGTATGTGGGCGAAGTAATACACAAAGGTGAAGAGGCATTTTGTGCAAAATATCTCACGGCTATCAGATTCAAGAACCTGACAGAACTGTTGTATGTATATATATATATATATATATATATATATATATATATATATATATATATATATATATAGCTATAGTCTGGTGAAATTTTTGTAGTGAAAACAGGTGAACAGCACCATTACTATCATTTTTTCGGAATAAAATGGTAACGTACTAATATTTTACACACTGCATGCTAATGAATAGATCCAATATACTGACACATACTGTATGTGTTGTCTTTCTCAACTGTTTAAATCTATTAAATTCATAACCAATCTTGACATAATGTTATGAATATTTGTCTGCCAAAGCACAAGAAGACCTG